GGGTGGGTGTCCTCTCATGTCCCCTCACGGCCCCTCTGCGGGCGCCCCGCGGGTGGGTGTCCCCTCACGGCCCCTCTGCGGGCGCCCCGCGGGTGGGTGTCCTCTCATGTCCCCTCACGGCCCCTCTGCGGGCGCCCCGCGGGTGGGTGTCCCCTCAGAGCCCCTCTGCGGGCGCCCCGCGGGTGGGTGTCCCCTCACGGCCCCTCTGCGGGCGCCCCGCGGGTGGGTGTCCTCTCATGTCCCCTCACGGCCCCTCTGCGGGTGCCCCGCGGGTGGGTGTCCCCTCACGGCCCCTCTGCGGGCGCCCCCCAGGTGGGTGTCCCCTTCATGTCCCCTCCCACCCTCCGTGGGTGCCCTCGGTTGGGTGCCCCCTCAGAGCCCGCACCCCCTGGGTAGGTGCCCTGGCCTGAAGCACTGCTGGGGCGGGAAAGTTCATCCCAGTCCCGTGTAATTCTTGCAGGGCGACTGCAATCCCAGTGTAGGATAACGAAGGCACCTGGCCCTTTCCTGGAAACGGTGGAAATAGGTTAATAGGAAATAAGTTGGGTTGGTTTTTTTTTAATGAAGGTGGGAGCTTAAGTGTGTTAATTGCATTTCTTCAGGATAATTAGGTATTCTAATTTCTGTCTTTTTGATCCTTAGCTGCTTATTGCACGGAAAAATGTTTTTGATTTATGTTTGCCCTAGTGAATGTGCTGGAGGCTACTTTAGAAATTGTGTATTCATTCACGTGTTTCTGAAAGTTTGGGTTCTGAGCCTTGTTGTGTCGGGCTGCTCGTGAAGGGCTTCCCCAGTTATGGTTCATGGCTGAATACACGAACGGTTGGGAGCACTGTGCTTTACTGGTGCGCGTAGAGCAGGAGTCAGTCTAAACTCCCTTCAGTTGTCTAAAAGGTGGAAGTTAAAACAGCGTGTGTTGGGTTGCTCCAGGTACCAGCCAGTGAGGAGGGATGTTCTTGATTGCCACACTTAAAATTTTAATTCTGTTGGAATGATGTTTTGAAATGAATTATCACTGAGGAAAAGCAAAACAGAAATGGAGGTTCAGAGCTTGGGTTACAATGTATTCTGCTAAGATGTTCTGCGGCAGAGAACCGGCAAACAAAGCGGCAAAAGTGTTCTCAGTGGTGTGTTCAGAGCTAACCGCTCTGCAGAGGTCATGTAAGGCATGTTCAGGCTGACCCTGCCTTGGTCAATAAGGCTTCAAGAATATTCTAGTCTACTAACAAGATGGCAATAAAACTGCTACCTGAGCACAGGTCCCAGAATAATTTTGACAAAAGCATTTGTCATGTTCTTTGTTGGACCACCATGCTCTTTTTAAAAGTGATAAAGAATTTTCTCCCCTGGTTGTCTGTTACCTTATTCTCAGTAGAAAATATACTTACAAGTTTTAAATAGTTTAGAATCACTAATTCTTTAAAATATTTATTGCCACTGATTAATTTGAAACCAGAACTAGAGAATAATTGACAAGGGCAAGGTCAGAGAGGATTCAGAGGCAGAAGCATGTCTCTGTAGGACAGTAGAGTCCAATGCCACGCTGCAGTCAGGGCTCGCTGGGTTTCTGTGGCTTGAAGAACCAGGCTACTGCTGTAGTTTTTTGTTGGGGTTGCTGTATGCCTTGTGTCAGTCAGGTACTGTTTTGATCCTACCAAGTGATGCTGCAGGTGAAACCATCAGCCCTCTTGGGACTGCATGGAAGTTGTGGACTCTTCGGGGTGTTATCTGGCATTTTCTGGATGGCTTTTTTCACTATTCCACAAAACAGGGCTTCATTCTGTTTGTGTTTTCTACTATAATACGAAGAATAGTTTATAGTCTTTATCCTGCTTTTGCAAACTCCTAAAGATTTGTGTTTACCAAGAGCTTTTATCCTGCAGTGAGGCCAGAATGATTGGTGTCTCAGGGTTATTACTGTATAGTATGTTTCAGAAAGAAATAAGCTTCCTTTCTCTTTGAGCTGCCCGAAGTCCCTCAGTTGTGTGTGCTTAATGCCAGGCCAGAACTGGTGAAAGCTGTCTTGGGTTAGTGTGTGAATCCAGGCATGCTAACCCAGTTACTCTGCTCTTTGAATAAGAGTTGGTTTGTGTTCCACCATCTCAGATCATGGGCAAGCTTGCTTCACATCCGCCCATTATATACCACGTGGACATAGCTAACATTGTTTTTGTTGTAAAACTGAAAAGCTGAGCTATGCATGGCGGGAGTTCTTTAAAAAGGGCAATTGTGCCAAAGGAAACACAGGGAGCAGAATATTTTGCAGGGTTCTCCGCTCCCACCGATTCCACTTTATTATGAAAGACTCCCTTAAAATTCTTCTTTCTCTCTTGCCACAAAGTTCATTGCAAAAATATTCAGGCAACATCAGTGCAGAAGGGCATCGCACACGCCTGTGCACTGAATTATCATCAGAGTGATTCTTTGTGGGTCTTGACAATCCATGGGTATTTAGGAGCGTGCGCAAAAGACAACATGACCTTCAATGAAAAGGGCAGGAAGAGTTTCGGAAGTGAAGATAATTACCTGAATTGGATTATGGTTGTGCCAGAAAATACTGAAAACCACAAATGATGAGTGCTCTGTCTTGTCCTTAATGGCAGTAGTGACTGATTTACCCACTAAAGTGATGGTGAGGAGTAACTCTTGTGATTATCTGGCAGAGTAAGTCTGAGCATTAATAATTTACAATTTATGTTGCCACTATTATTGCATGGAACTTCTAGAAGGTAGATGCGTAATAAAAAACATTTTCCTCTCTTTTTGTTGTTGTTGTAGGATGGAAGAGAGACCAGTCTGAAAAACTGTTCCATTGTGGACTTTGCTGTTGTCTGCTAGAATGTTCCTTATGAATGCTTCTCCTTTGGTAGCTCTTCAGACAAAATGGGAGTCCTTTGGACCAGCAAGGAATTGTAGATACCCCGTTTGCTTCTCTGAATCTGAAGGGGACGTCACTAGAACCTCTGTAAGTGCAAAAGTTCAGATGATCATAAACAACCTGCAAAGTCAAGAGTCTCCCCTGGGTATGAACAATGAGTATGATTGTATTATGCAGAAGAAACAAAAGGGAGAAAAGGGCACTAGTAACAGAGTCGCATCTAGCACCACATTGCTACGGAAGCATCCTCAGTATACCAAGTGTGGATGCCCTGCTGATTCGGACGACACTGAAGTGGAAGAGAATGTGGGTTTTGGGACTCTCTTGCTCGATTCTGATAGCGACGATTCTGTTGACCGAGGTATAGAGGAAGCCATTCAAGAGTACTTGAAAGCAAAAAGCAAAAGTGACCAGTCGTTGCAAAGGAATGCGGAGTGTTCTGACAATATAAGCAGAGACAAAAGGTTTAAGAGAGAATTCTCCCAGAACAAAATGGCTAGTAATCTTCTCCCTGTGAAATTTAAAGCTGAAATGCTCTCTGAAGAGTACCTGACTGACCACCTGGGAATTGGTAAAAGGCTACAGCCTGCTTCCCCTCAGAGCATCAGTAGCGATGACTCTTTTGAACAGAGCATACAAGCTGAAATAGTACAGTTCTTGAATGAGAAGAAGCAGCAAGAAATTAGTAGATGTGTAATTGGGGAGGATAAAAAAGATTCCCATGTGAGACCTGTCCTAAAATGCAACAAAGAAACAACAAACAAAACAAACTGTGGTGCTATAAAGCAAGGTTGTAATGCGCTCCTCTTGAGACACCATCCCAAGCTGCAGAAAACCAGCACGCAGTCCAAGTGTTTGCAGTCTAAAATCCAAGAAGAGCCTAGTGATTTCAGCCAAGTGAACCAAGCGTATCTAGAAATGGCCACTGCCAGCCAGCCCTGGTTAGTGGAGCAAAATGAAGAAAGTGGAGCTAATTACTGGGAGACAAGGGGAGCGCTTATCAACGAGAGCATGCACACATCTGACTCAAGTAGCGATGATGGCATTGAAGAAGCCATTCAGCTTTATCAGCTGGAGAAAATCAGGAAGGAGGCAGGTCACACAAAAGACTGTGTCCCTTTGCAGAGGGAACAATTTGATACAAAGGGAATGGCAGACATTTCTGCAAGCCTGACAATTAGCTCAACAAAAAGTGCCTCACCAGAAATCCATAAAAGCCCTGTAAGCAACAAGAGAAAAGAAATTAATTCAAAGTCAACAGAGTTAGAAAGCACCAGCAGTGAATTTAACAACCTGTTTAAACCACTGAAAAAAGCCAGACATTTTGCACCTCCAGAAAACAAGATTGCTGCTTGTGAGCTCACATTGCAGGCTTCTTGCAGAGCAGACACATCTGCAGAACTCATGTGTGCGGAAGCTATCCTTGATATTTCCAAGACAATCATGCCATCCCAAATGGGAAGTGACAACAAATCACTCGCTGCAGACTCCTTCTTTTCTCCCCAGCTTCTCTCATCCTCTCGTTGTGAAAGTGACAGCAGCCTTGTGGACAGTGATGATAGTATAGAGCAAGAAATCAGGGCTTTTTTGGCTCTGAAAGCACAGTCAGGAAACCTTGGAACAAAGCCTCCCAGCCTGTCACGCTCAATCCAGATGCCTTTGCCTTCTGATCAGAACAGCCTCACTGGTACCCTCGAGCCTTCACTTCCCAAAACACTGAAGCTATCACTGAGTCGTAAAAGGAGACTTAAAAGGGAAGACAGAATAGTGAAACAAGGTGCATCAAAAACACCTGAGCAGCTGGAGACAGGACTTTTCCAGCCAGGTAACTATTCAAAATTTCCTGTGCTCCAAGAGGAGTGTGCCCTGAGCAGTCCTGCAGAACTCTGTGATGCTCAAAGGCTCAGTACTAAAGAGACTAGGCAGCAGCAGCTGATGTCTTCCAAACTGTCTGGATCTGACGGCAGATGTGTGGCCTTGGACTCTGTAAACCCTTTTATGCAGGTTCAGAGTAGCGCAAGAAAGCTTATGAAAAATACCATCCAAACTCAAGAGAGGGATGGTTCAGATGATGAGAGCAGTTCTCTGGATAGTGATGAAGACCTTGATAGCGCTATCAAGGACCTTTTACGGTCTAAAAGAAAATTAAAGAAGAAGTCCAAGGACCAGAAATCTCAGTGCAAGAAGAGAGTCAGATTTAGCGAGACTGAAACTCAGCTGCTAGATGAATTTAGTAGCCTCCAACAAAATGAGTGGAAATGTAAAAATCCCATGCTACTGAAAAGCTGCCTCTCAAAACCTAGAAAAGCTGTGAAAGAGAATGCGATCAGAAATCCTCCAGACAACATAAATGTCAAACTTACCAATGAAAAACCAGAAACCATGAAGAACTTAGAGTTTAACTTACAGCTTAAAAAAGGATATAAACCTAAACCAATTTCAAACTCGAATAACCTGCGGGTAGCAAAAAATAAAAAATGTACTTTCACAGCTGCGTCAGATGCTGATGACAGCAGTTCAGTGGACAGCGATGACAGCATCGAACAAGAAATTAGGAAGTTTTTGGCAGAAAAGGCTAAAGACTCTGCAAGCAATTCAGAGGTACAAAAAGATGATGCAACTCTGGACCTATTGAGAGTGACCAAACAAACTGCTAATAAAGGAAAAGCAAAGCAACAGCCAGTTGAAAATGAGATTGACCTCGTGCTGGGTCAGAGTAAAAAGACTGAGGTATCTCAGCAAGCTGATGAGTTGAAGGACTCTCAGAGAACGGAAGGGAAAAGTGCAATGTTACATGGCAGTGGGAAATCTGCTTCCTCTGCAGAGAATGTTACTCTTCATACTACTGGTCAGTCAAAAGCTAAGCAAGGAGTGGCAGGGGTTAAAGGTGTTGCTGGTGTTGAGTTATCTGGAAACGCAACAGGTAAAAAGGCTGTCCCTAATACAGACCCTGCGCAGAAAATGCTTCCACCTAAAACCAGCAAAAATGGAGGTTGTAAAGTACAAAAAGTAATTAATGCAAAGTCTAGATCTAAAAGAAAGAATACCTTTCACCTAAAAATCTCAAGTAAATTTATTGCAGGTCTAAAATATGCTCGGGACAGGAAGAAATCAATGCTTTTGAACAAAAGGCAGAAAGCGGAGCGTTTGCTTGCCCAGAGCAGTGTGTTAGGAATGGAGGTAGCTTCCCAGGATACAGACGTACTTAACCAGGGAAGTGGAGCCCCGTTGCCAAAAGGTGAATTTAGTGGGGAGACTATGACAGCAATAAAAGAATCCAGTTCTTCTCAGAAGCTCACTGTGGAAGTGCCAAGTCCCGGTGTAGCAGAAACATGTGAAAGACAGGAGGCTGCTCCTTTGTATATCAAAGAGGAAGCAGAGGGTTGCAGAAAAGCTAATGCTTCAGGAGATCAGTTGGATTCACACTCGAGTCTCCCCTTGCAGGAACAGAGTGTGGCAGCAGTAAAAGTAGATAAGGTTTGCAGAGGAATATCCAAAGCTGAGAACACACAGATGTGGATCGAGGAAGGAGATATCCACAAAGAGAGCAGGGCTGATTCAAATTTAGCTCGCCCATGCCCTGAACACAGTATGGCAGTGGTAAAAGCAGATAAAGTCAGCAGAGACACATCTCAGCAGAGTATACATGCGTGCAGTCAGGGAGAGGATAACCAGCAGGACAAGAGGCCAGATCCAAGTTTAGGTTGCCCAGTGCAAGAACTAAATGTGACAGCAGTAACAGTGGATAAAACTAGTGGAGGAGCATGTACAGATAACAGTATGCAGATGTGCGTTAAAAAGGAAAATGTTGCATGCCAGGACAGTAACAGGCAGGAAGAAATTCAGGTATCCAGCTCCAGTTTGGAAGGAAAAATACCTGTCCTGCAGAATAGGGAAATTGCTTGTGAAGTGGACCAAGGGCAGGAAGTTTTAGACAAAACCTGTGCAAAATTTACTGACGTACCTGCAGGGGACTGCCCAGATTCCCTCTTAAAAAGAAAGGTTTCAGATATGTAAGTACTCTTCTTTTTTTTCTTTTTTTTTTTTTACAGTAACAGTCTTTTTGGAAAATAACTATCATTGTAATTACCTTGGTAAAACTTGAGACATGAAAGGATAGACAGTGGGAGAATGCTGATATCTGTATATCATATACACACTAATGTGAAAAATGCTTCTATTTAACAAGGATATCATGGATAAACATACATAGTTTTTCTAGAATTTTGTAAATTATTTAAAGTGCTCTAAGGAAATATTTTTTATAATGATTTTTAGGGCTTGCATTACTACAGGATGCTGTAGTTACTGTAGATAAGAAGATACTGGCTAATCACGCTTTAAATTATGAGGCCTCTAATCATATATCAAAAGGAAACCTGTTTGCACACAGAATATATTTGGCAATCTGTTAAGAGATCCTAGGAAAACACAGCATTTGATAGCAATGCTGTGCTTTTGAAGCAGGTTATCTGACGTCTGTTCACATTCAAGCTGCCTTAGGACAAGCCTATGTCGTGGTTTTATGCTGGGGTCTCAGTTCTCCCACCCCGAGGGCTGGTGGTCGAGTTCAGTAAGCAGAACTCCAGTGAAGTCAGCAGAGCTGTGGTGCGGAGATCCATCCTTGAAGATACAAATGCAAATTCAGGTAAATAAAGTGGATCAGTCTCTCTGCACGTCCTGTGTAAAGCGATCTCAGCAGCTGCTGAAAGTACCTTTTGAATGCCCAAAACCTCCTGCTAGCAGATGATTTCAAGCACAATTGCAGTTCAAGAAAAGTGAAGGAGCATGTCTGTTCAGACAACATGATTTCTGTGGATTTCGCTAGATTTACGTACTGTTGGGCCTGCAAGGCTGAAACAATTCCTCGTTATTCTCAAGTCTCATTTCGATGCCCTGCAGTTACCCAGAAATGGCTTTTGATTTCCTGAATGAACTTTCTTGAACCGAGTGCCCTTACGTCCCTTTTTCAAAAGTGGTTTCTAAAATGTTACATTTCTGTGAACTTTTATTTTCATTTACAATTTTTGTGCAATAGAACAAAGCTAGGTTTGCTGTAGGAAGTCCCTAATGTAAAACGCCAAGGATATTTTCAGCACTGTTCTTTCATACTGGTAATGCTTTCTCTGCCTCCATTTCCAGCAGCCAGAATAAAGCAATTTTTCACTACTATCTTTTTATTTGTACTAACTTTAAATGGGATTGAAGTAGCACGTACTTATCACAAAAAAAGTGCCCCCACACTGGTTTCACGGAAAGATCCAAAAAGTGTGAATTTAAGCTGTTGGCTGGTTGTTTTCATTTGTGTATAGTGAAGTCCTTTGAGTAGTTTGTTCTTACATCTTGTCCCTGTGAATTGATCCGATATTCTCTTTATCTAGCCTTCTACAGAACTTCTCTCAGCCAAACTATCACTCAGTATCACTTTGTTTCTCAATCACTTCAGCAGTCTTCCTGGAGGCTGGCCTTAATATTGCAAAATGGAGCAAAAGCAGTCAAGAAAGGATCCAGTATCGTGTAGTATCCCCTGGTGTGATTGCGTTTGCAGAATGTTGGCAAACTACAGCGTAGCATAGAGTAGAACAAGTAACTGTGGCATGTAGAGAAATAAACAACATCCTTTGTGTGTTTATACTGTTGTGCAGTTACATTTTAAACATGTTTATAGTGGTCACTTGACATTTCTTACTGTCCGGCCACCTTTTTATAGTTCTTGGGTTGGTTGGTTGGTTTGTTTAAAAGATCAGTATGCTAGATCATCTCATTTTTGTGGTAGGATACTTTGGAAAAGTGTTTTTTACTTAGCTCACATGCCTGCAGTCAGTCTACACAGGCATATATTTTTGTCTGCCTTGATTCAGTTGCAGGATTTGGGCCTTTTGTTTGGAATAGGTAAATAGCCTGGTATTTTAAAATAGAAGTTTTCAGAGTACCTTGCTTTAAAAGGATTAAACTGTATACTTAATTTTAATAGAGATGATGGAAGCACTATGTACTGTTTGTATAAAATAAGCTGAATGTTTCTCCTCAAAGTTTTCAGTAAATCAACGTTAAGACTTAAAAGGTGTCTTGTGCCCCTGTCGATGTATCTGTGTTCTCAATACTACTCGTGAACTGATTCGCTGTCAGTTTAGATGCAATTCCGATTACCATGTGCTTTAAATAAAACCTGATTTCAAACAGCACTTTTTTTAAATTGATAAACTTGATTTGTATATAGGAAATGGTGTACATTGATAAGTTTATAATGTTTAATAAATGGGGTTCTGACCATGGACCATGAAACCAGAGTGCTCCTATGGTTTGTGTCATCATCTTTAGTGAGTAGTATTTTTGTGTTATCTTTTTTTCCCTCTTGACTGTAGTCAGAAGATGTAATGTAATTCATTTGTGCCAGTAACGTTTGTGAGTGAAGGATGTCGCCCTTGCAGACGATCACAGCGTTTGTGTTGGCCGAACCTAGGAACAGGATCTCAGTTCACCTGCTGCTCTTGCTTCTTGTCTCCTATTGTCTTCAGCCACTCGCTGTCTGAGACTGTAATCTCCTATGTGACAATAGCATGTGATTTCCTTGTGACTGTGAAACAGAGTTCAGATCTTTAAAGACGTGTCTCTTTAAAGGAATGTTGTTCTTAATAACAAAAAATTAAGAAGGCGAGTCTACAAAGCACATAGGCAAAAAAAAGTTTTGGGTATTCTGGCAGGTGAGAATGGTGCTTGTCATTTTAGCAAAACCCTAACAGCAGGTTTTTTTCCTGGTGTTTGTGGTCAAGAAGCAGAGTCTTTCCTTGAGCTTGCCCCTCTCCATTAGCAGCAAAAGGGTTAGCAAAAGGGGTTCCTTGTTTTTGAGGCAGAGGTTGGCAGGTGAGATCTGTGATTCAGTTGGAAAGCACTCAGTGTATTTCTAAATGGCATCCTCTGTAGTGCAGCTTCTGCAGCCTCCAGGATTAGCTCATGATCCTTTCTGCCCCACTGTCAAAGACTGGTGGTGGAGAGTCTAGGAGCCCTTGATGGTGCAAGGAGAGGATGAATGTGCTTTCTTGCTCACAGGTGACATTGTGACACCCAGCACTGAGGTTCTCCTAGAAGGCAAGGAGTCTCTGAGCTAGTCTTCAGGGTGGGAGGGAGGGAAGGAAAACTGTTGTTCTGATATGCAAACCTGCCTGTCACCCCTGGTGTTTCTGTACCAATATGCTGTGGGTATTCCCTTCTATCTCCAAGTCCTTCCAGTTGTCTTTGGTGTCAGCAAGTAATTTTTCCATACTTTGTCCCATGAGAATTGCTGACTTGCCAAGGAGGAGCGAGCACCCACAGGGGATGTAACTTAAATAGTTTAGTGTCAACGAACATCTCTGGAATTGGTGCCACAGCCATAAGGAAAGTGCCATAGCTCTGCTGGCAGTATGGTCATTCTGGGTACAGTTCTCATCACTCATTCAAAAAAAGAGAAGTCTGGTGTCTTGGAGGAATAAGAAATCGCTCTTACACATTACGGATTAACGGTTGAACAGCTGAGGAGTAGAAAGATTGTATTGAGTGAGAATAAATTAATGAGCAAGAGTCCCAGGCATGTGGTACCAAGTTTGGGACTGCAGTACAAATCTCTTGAGGTTGAATCTTGATTCATGCAGTACCAAAAGCATTTTTTTTTTTCTTCCTATTGATACTGATCATAACAGGCAGCCAAACGTAGAGCAGGCACGGACTATAGGCCCTTCCTGGCCCTTTTCAGCACTCCAGTGATAGCTCTGTTAAGTGCCCAGAACAAGCTCCTTTTTCCATTATTTCAACCCTCCTGGGGCATTAACTTGATCCTTTATCTATTGCAGTAGATACATGCACGGAACCATGAACTCAAGTCTGCTCAAGCATGTAAAGAAGTTACTTTTTTTAATGAGTGCTGGTTTATATTTTTAAAAAATGCACAGTGATTTTTTTTTTTTCTTTTTCAGTAAGAGCACAGGACTTGCTAATTTGGATGTTAAGTTACTGAACTACTCAGTATATTTTATTATGGTTACTTGTTAGTTACAGCATCCTGACTACAATACCAGAATTCTCAGACAACTCTGTGCTCGCTCAGGACTTTGAAAATAGGTGTATTGTTTTGTTTTTATCACAGTGACTATTCTTCTGTGCTTCAGGAAGGGCAATCTTCAAGGATCCTCAGGGGACCACAAGGACTACCTTAATTTTTTATAAACAGTTTTTTGCTGCTATTTTAGGAACATGTGTTTCAATGTGTAGCTGCTTTTTATATAAGGAAGGAACCCACCATCTCTGCCCCCATTTCGTTTATTAATGTATATGCCTTTTAATTTTACAAACCTTTAAGAACTGCAGTTTCTCTCGGTTTGATAGTACAGCCTCACATAATTTTATCTGCAAATGTGGAAATCTTGTTTTCAAAATACAGAGTAGAAAGAGACTGTTTCAGATAGATTCTCTGCAGTAAAACATGCCATCTTTAGGATCGTATTTTGAATTTGTACAGTATCTCAGGACACAGTCTATATGAAGGTAACGTAAGGTGCGCTGCATGCAAAACTGTTCAAGGGAACTGGTTTTAAGTTCAAGAATAAAACAAAAAGGGAAGAAATTAAGGCAAGGAAGAAAAGAGGTGGGTGTTTTTAGATGAAGTATGAAAACAGGAGGAAAATACGTGACAAAAGCCACTAAATTTCTATTTTTAAGAGGCAGTCTTATCCCTGAATTATTCCACCTGCAGAAAAATCTGTGGATAAAAATATGTAAAATTGTCACAACTATTTATATTAATTCAGCTCTTGATGTTATTTTTCATTTCAGGAGAAGAGAGGGAAGTTATGAGAAGCTCAAGGTATTGTGTAGAGTCTAATAGAAGAATAACAGTGAATGATAGTGGGTTGCTTATTTATTTTCTTATGTTAAATATTAAAAAAAGTTAACTTTTCAGGCCCATTTCTGCTTTGTATATTTACTTGTTACAGTGTATTGGTGTGTTTTCAGCAAAGGTGAATTTAGGCAGCTATTCTTCTGTTTGAGATAACCAAATGCATTGCAGTGAAAACTGGAATTGTTTGGTAGGCGTGATTGAAATCTTGGGGGGGAGGCCAGGAACATGTAGCTACGCTGGGGTTTGAATATTTAGAAAAAGCACAAGTACAGGCCTGCTCAGTTTTGGACTTGAGATTTTTGCTTCGTGACATTATTAACTAAACAGAACACCTCTACCTTGGAAGTATGTTTAAATATATCGTCGTCATGCTTCCTGTGCAGTTTATAAGACTATATAAAAATGACACAAACAGGGAATATTTCTAACATGAAGAATATCATTTGCAGGGGTACTTGGACATACTATTACACTCATTTTTTATTTTCTTAGCAAACAGCTAGGATAGTATTATGCTCATTTTAATGTATGCTATCACTATGTTATACCTGTAAGGTAGGACCATTTCTTATCCATAAACAGGCAGACTAGTTTCTCTTCAAGACTAGTTTTTAAGCAGTTACTTTACTGTCTAAACGATGCAGTTTCACTGGCTGTGTAACTACAGTTGTTACAATAAAACTTAAGAATACATTTTCTTTTTGATTAGTTGTCTTTATTTGAATAATTTCTTAAAACATGTATATTTGAGAGGTAAAAGAGATGAACATGTTTTCAACAAGAAATCCAAAGGCTGGAAAACATGCATTGGTTATTCATTAAATAGTACAGAAACAGTTTAGAAATTGTAAATTTTAATACGTGGTACATGAGCCAAGAGTTTAAAGGATCATTAGTGACAGAGAAGAGGTTAAGGGAACATACATATATATGTAACGTGTATTGTTCTAGTGTTTATAACTATATGCTGCTTATAAATCAAGTAAAATGGTTCGTATGAGCTATTCAACTGACATTTAATCAGTCTTAAACTGCTTTTCCCCCAAAGCTAAATTTGTGACCTTAACTTGGTGAAAGTCCTGTTTCAAAAAACAAAAAACCCAGAAACATATAACGGTTTGGGTTGGGCAGGGGGGGTATTAGAAATGTACTGCTACCTTTAACCTGCTAATTTTGTAGCTGTTCATCACATTGTAATAGCAAGTCTCGCATTACCAAGGTGAAAGATTTTTTTTCCCCTGTGTTCAGGAGAAAACTTCTCATTAAATCGTGACTTACATGGTTAATAGTGTGAAGCACGTGTGTTAATCTGCTGCCAATTAGTGGGCCACGTGAATTCTTTTCCTGATGGTCTCTACGGTTTTACTCTCCTCAGTGATAACAACTGTGACATCCCAAGTCTGCGTTCAGGAGAGGTGACCTGAAGCCAAGGGCTCTAACAAGAGTGCCCTGTCCCAGCCTGATGGCACAGGGCACGAGCGTAATGGAAACCTGCCTTATTCTTGATGAAATAGCCATTTAGCAGCTACGGTGCAATGGTGTAGTGCCTGCTGTCATGCTTTCAGATGAGGCTTAGCAACAGATGTAGGGTAAGGTCAGCAGCGTTGTTTGCTTGCTCGTGGTTTTGTTTGGTTGGTTTTGGTTTTGATCTGGGCAGCCAGCAGTATATCGCAGCGGCCTCGTGCTGTCGTTGGTACTGCTGCAGATCTAACAGTGCGACGGGCCGCTTGGGTTGTAGCTGGGATGGAAGTTGAGGTGGTCGTAGGTGGTGATGAAGTTGTCTGGGCCGGTGACGTGGCTCTTCTCCAGGGAGGTGTTGAGCCCGTTATTTCTGTACAGGCCACCCTGTGCCAGAGTATTCGAAAACGCGTGCGAGGTGACGTGGAAGGAGGTCTGCGAGAGCGAGAAAAGGGGAGGAAGATGTTGTTAAACGCCAACATGGGTAGCACCTGCCACGCGCAGAAGTTTGGATGCAACGATGATGGCACTTCATCTGCTCCGGGGGGGCGTTGTTGCCAGGGGATGGTGCAGAGGCCAAAACTTTGAGGCGCTGTCCCCCAAACCCCCGGCTGAGCCCGGGGCAGGGGAGGGGTCCTCTCCCTCACCCCACACCCCTACCTACCGGCACCTCGTGCACCGTGGGGGCTTTGCTGCCGTAGACCCGGTTGGCGGTCCGGTACCGGGGGTGAGGCTCCGGCTGCCTGCGGGAAGAGAGCAGAGATGGGACCGGGGGTGCCGAGGGAGGGGGGGCGGTGTTGGAAAAACACCTCCGCGGGGTCCGCGCTCACCCGTAGCCACGGAAGCAGGCGGGCTGCTGGAAGCGGCCGGGCAGGCCGGGGCTGGTGCGGTAGAAGTCGCTGGTGCGGGGACCGGGGCTGCCCGCCGCCGCCGCCGTCGCCGGGCGGGACATGGGGAACGGGACGGGGCCGCTCGTTGCCCGGCGACGTGACGCTGCGGGCGGGCACCGATCGCTCCGCGCACCGAACCCCGTCCCCGCCCCGGGGAGGAGGGCACACGGGCCGGGCCCGGCCCCCGCTCCGCCGCTCAGGAAACGGAAGGCGCCGCTTGACCTTCCTCCTCCTCCCCCTCCTGCTCGCCCTGCGGCCGCCGGGCACCGAGCATGGCGGTGCCGCGGCTCCTGCGGGCAGGTGAGCGGGTCTTTCCCTTCCTAGCCCGACCCGCCCGTGTGACACCCCCCCCCCCCTTCCCCGTGTGACCCCCCTGCCGTGTTTCTCTCCCCGCAGCAGCCCCACGGCTCTACAGCAGCGTACCGGCCCCGGCGGCGGTGGCGGCCCAGCCCCGCGGTAAGTGCTGCCGCGCACCGGCCCCTTCCCCGGGGAAAAAGGGGGGGGGGGGGTCCCCCGAGGCGGGCCCCTGCACCCCCGAAACCTGGGGCCGGGCGGTGAGCGGTGTCCTTGCTGGTATCGCCAGGCCCTTGTTGCAGTCAAGTGGCCGTGGGCGCATCAGGGTTCGTTCTCCAGTCCCGGCTCATCCCCTGCAAACGCAACAAGAGGAGACAATGATTTATTTTATTTTTTTTTCTCTCCTTCTCTTAGCTGTGGATGACAAGCTGCTGTCCGAGCCTCTCAGCCACCCCGACTTCTTCAACGTGAAGGAGCTCTTCTCACTGAAAGATCTCTTTGATGCTCGGGTGCACTTGGGGCACAAAAAGGGATGTCGGCATAGGTGAGTGACCCTGTTTCGCGATCCAGCGCTTGTTGACATCAGGAGTGTTTCCCTAGGCCGTGTCAGCCTTTGGGGGCTGCACTAGATGGGTCTGGGTCTGGAACTGCCCACACAGACCTGCATTTCTGCCTGGGCACAGTTACTGCCCTGCAAAAGTACAGGGACCCTGCTCAGGTGGGCACTGAGCGGGGCGTGAGACCTGCAGCCCCCTGAGGCCAGGTAGGACAGATGCTGTGCACAAGGGTTCTCTGCAGAGAGCACCTCTGGAATCGGCTGGGAGTTGGAGTGTGGGAAGGGTTCGGTGGGGCCACGCCACGTTCAGAAACACTGCTCGATGCCTGTAGTACCCTGTCCCCGCGTCCCCTTGTGTCGCCCTCCCTCTACCACTGCAGGTTCATGGAGCCCTACATCTTCGGCTGCCGCCTGGATCAGGACATCATCGACTTGGATCAAACGATGCAGCACCTCCAGCTGGCCCTCAACTTCACCGCCCACATCGCCTACCGCAAGGGCATCATCCTCTTCATCAGCCGCAAACGCCAGTTCTGCCACCTGATCGAGAGCACAGCGCGGGAGTGCGGAGAGTACGCCCACACTCGTTACTGGCAGGGTGGCCTGCTCACCAACGCTCACATCCAGTTCGGGCCCGGCGTCCGCCTGCCCGACCTCCTCATCTTCCTCAACAGCCTCAACAACGTCTTTGAGCCCCACGTGGCCATCCGGGATGCCGCCAAGATGAACATCCCCACGGTGGGGGTGGTGGACACGAACTGCAACCCCTGTTTGATCACCTACCCCATCCCTGGGAACGACGACAGCCCCACTGCCATGGAGCTCTACTGCAAGCTCTTCAGGATGACCATCATCCGCGCCAAGGACAAGAGGAGGCAGAGTGAGGTCTTCAGCGAGCTGCGGAGCAAAGCGGAGGGCAATTAGAGCCCTAGAGACAGGCTCGGCCATGCCCAGCAGCTTGGTGATGGGTGTCCTGCTTCGCTCCCGCGGGCGCTGCGGGACTGACCCTGCACCAAGAGCACCAGCTTTTGGCAGAGCTGGGCTGGTTGTGGAAGGGACCCCCACCAGCTCTGCTGCAGCACAGAGATCCCGCGGCGGTCTCAGCTGCGGTGGGTGTCTAGCTCAAAATACAAATTGTCCGGAGCGATGCAAGGGGAGACGGAGCCAGGCCAGACCCGGCTCCTGTCCTTGTGTTTATCCCTGTTGCAAGGAGGTGCCTTGGTCCTGTGGCCTTCCAATTCCCGAGCTGTGACCTCACGTGAAACTGCTTGTATCTCACGCTTCTTCTTGACAAATAAAGGCCCCTGTGATCCTTTTTTCTTTCTTCCCTTGTGAAATGGGAAGGTACGGGGGAGTCTCTGGTAAATGTTTACAGTGATGGGATGGGGGGGTGAAGGGTGTCCCCAGGCTGGGGACCCTCAGAGCCTTGCAGACCAGGATGGTGTGGGGGGATGCGAGGCTCGCCAGTGCCGGTGGGTCACGGGGTTGGAGGGTCCCTGTTTTGTCCCAGCGTCCAACCTCTGCTGTCACCGTGGGGCGTAGGGGACCACAGGGTGCAGTGAGAAAAGGGAAATCCAGCCCCTAACACACCTTGTGTCTCTGGAGGAGGGCTCAGGGCAGTCCTGCAGCGTTGGGGGTCAGGCCCAGCGTGGGGAAGAGCTCTGGGCCAGGGGTCCCGGTCCCGGTGCGGGTCCCGATCCCCGGTCCCGGCACTGGCCGCTCCCTGCTCTGCGTCCTCCCACCCAACAGGGGGAGCTCGCCGGGAGCCGAGGCGCTGCGCGGATTGTCGCCGCGGCGCTTCCGCCCGCCCGCCGTATATAAGCGGAAGGCGGGGAAGAGGCCGCCCTTTCGGCTGGGCGCCCGGCCGGGTGGGGAGAGGCGGCGGCGGGTCTCTCTGCGGGGAGCGGGGCTGGCCTCTCCCTCGGTTCCGCTCCGTCCCGGCTGGGTGACGGGAGGGTCTCTGGTTCCCCTCCGGTGGGGGAGGCCGCAACCGCCCGGGGGTTGGGGAGATGCTTTCGCCCCCTCAAGCGCGGAGGCTTGGGCCGACGGGGCAGGCCTCGGGTGCGGGAAGCCGGTACCGGCCGAGGTAGGCCCCTTCTGGGCAGGGCTCCTGCCGCACTGACCGCCGGCTGCTCTCCCCAGGTCCTCCTTCCCGCGCCATGTTGCAGCGAAGTTTCTTGAAGGCGGCGGCGGCCGGTTCCTCTTCGCTTCTTCTCCCCCGTCGCTGAACGAGGGAAAGGTGCGGCGTGAGGACATGGCTGCGGACCGGCAGGACCCCCCCCCCTCCGCTGTGCAGGAGGAGGAGGAAGGTGTGAGTGGAGGTACGGGTGGTTCCTGTGTCCAGCTGGGTGGGCTGCCTGCGTGTGAGCTGCTGGTCTTACTGATCTGGGTGACCCCCCCAGGAAAATAGGGCTTTAGTCCCCAGTCTTGCCTGCTCCCCCTCCCCAGGTTTCTGGGCCTCAGACGGGACAAAACGTGCCCCGCACAGCCACATGGCTGGAGACGGTCAGGGAGAGACCCGTAGGTCCCCTGGGCCCCGTCTGGTGCTCAGTTTCCTTCAGGCACTGCGATGTTCAGTGTATGTTATAAACTGATGTATAGGAAGGTACTAGGATTAAGGTGAATAAGGCAAAGGGATGTGCTTCCAGTGAAGGAGGGGAGAAAATAGAGGGCTGCCACCTTTCCAGGTTTCGAGGGAAATGTTTGAGTAACTAAAGTGAAAATATTAAGCAAATTTTTTTTTTCTTATATTTTAATCTTACGGTTTTCTGTGAAGTGGTGCAGTTCACAAAGAAGCTTGTTACACAATCAGCTGAGCACTTGTTATTAACTGCATTCTTCCTTTCTTCTTATTTGTCTCTCTTCAGCCTGGCAGAAGACAAAGGGTGACGTGAAAAAAGATTCTGTGCCTTGAAAAATGAAGGGTAAGTGGTGCTTAACACAGAGGCTGTCCAAGTAAGCTTCAGCCACCTTGGTAGCTCTCTTAAGAGGTGTGTTACATTGACTATCTACACGTGCACCAAATACCTTTGTAATACTACTCTCTGAGTAGGTGATACAATCTTGTTCTTATAAATACCTTTTAACTATCACCTTTTTCAGTCTTTGTGGGCTTTTTTTCAATCTGCCACAGGCGTTGCAAAGGTGGCTGCTGTGGCATCTTTGTGTCATTAGGTGGCAGAGAGAGACAGGCTATATTCTACGCTCGTTTGTTCTGAAACCCGTGAGCATTCAGAGTGATTGATAGCCTGACATAATTTATAAATAGGGTGGTTAATAGGAGACTCCTGAGAAACTAAGCCTTCCCTATTATTTTTTTTTAAATTGCCTTAAATGTGGGGCTGTACGTAATAGAACGGAAAGGTGTTCTGTTTGATCTGTAGTGGCTGTGCAGCAGAAAGGCTGTGCATGGCTTTCTGATTATTTAGCCTTGAAAACGGTAGGATCCTCTTGGTACATAGACTTGTATTACAACAGAATGAGTTGAAGTGATCTGTCTAAAGCCACATGGCAAGTTGGTGATGTCACTGGGAGCACATCCTGGGAGTTGCATGCTGCCAGCCCTGACCGTATTCCTCTCTGAAAGTAAAAATATGCCTGTGCTACGCATTTATTTCTTTACCTTCCCTCTCATACTGGGCCTTTCAAATTTCTGTTGTCAGTGAAACAATAAGCATATAACTAGGCTTTGAAGCATGTCTAAATATATAAAATAAATGGTGTATGTATCTTCCACTTCTTTTTCAGAGAAAGCCATGTGACACGGCGGATCGAGGAGGTCTTCTCAAAGACCTGAGGTGAGCAGCAGCGGATGCAAGTTCCCCTGTTAAATAGCTCCATGCCCCAAGTCGTGTTGCAGATGTGGCTGTAGTGCCATGTTTGTGTCATTAGGTGGCAGAGAAGAAAAGGCAATGTCTTTGCTAGTGCTCTGAAACCTGTGAGCACTCAGGAATGATGAACAACCTGACAATTATTTCTTGCTTTTCCTGGTTTTTTTCCTTTAATGTTAATCTTAAATCATGAAGGATGCACAGCAGTGGAGGGACAGGGTACAGAAGCTAGCCCTGTCCTTCAGTGTGGCAGACAGTCATTCTCTTAATGAATACCTTGTTTATGTGACAGATAAGAGATGTGACTGATTTTTCTGCTGCCATGTTCTATGTTTTAGAAGTGAAACTTTTATGGTTTACTGACACACTGTGTTAAAAGCTAATTCAGATTTCTCGCATATCATATCTTTTATTGTTATGGAGGAATGGGCAAACTCCAGCATTATTTATTCTAATAGTCCTGAGTCCTTGGAGATTTGCTCTCCTGACACGTTAATATCATTAGGGGTCAGAGATGAAGAGGCTTCCTGTGCCCGAAACTCGTTAACTGCTCAGAGATTAGTAGCTTGACAACGTTTCCATGTGTACCTCTTTCCAGAGAATCAGCGGAAGATGGAGTAATTTTAACTGCATCAGGGGAAGGTCCGTCCTTGTTTTTGCAAGGACAAATAGAAGCGACAGCTCTATTCTTGAATTCTATTTTTGCCTTCAACAATCCTTTATAGCCTGCAAGACATCCTTGCTGGCTGCCTGTTCTGTCTGTGAAAGGGCACCTCTTGAGTGTTGCAGGGTTTAGCATTACGTAGATACCAAGAATCACGCCAGGGAGTGGAGGAGACGGGGGGGAAAAAAGGCACTCGAGTTTGTTGTTTCCAACGTATTGGCATGATCTAGAAACAATTGGGTGTGGATTTAGCATGTGGAGAAAATTGCACCCTATTCCCAACACTAATAAAACACTCGGCCAACAGCATCTTGACTTCCAAGGGTGCTGACTAAGTTTTACCAGAAGATGCAATCAGCAATCTTCTGAAATGCAGCTTTATAATCATGCTTGGTTTTGGGGTGGGGTGGGGAACAAAACAAATAAAACCCAACCCAACACTCCTTCCCCCAAAAAACCCAAACTGAAGGTCTTTTTCCTTCTTACAGTTACTTTTGAGAACAGGACTGATTTCTGGAACTTGCTTCAAATACTGAAGGTATGTATTACGTCACTTCTTGGAAATGTACCTAACCTCAATGCATTACCAAAGCAGTCAGTGTCTGGGTAGAAGTCCTTGGGTTGGTACATCTTGTCCTTCTGACTTCTTATGGGACACGGACAAATAAAACAAAGAATGCTACTAGTGCATACTTGCAGAAAGAACAAAAAATTCAGTATTTCTTCATCTTTTTTGCTGACAAACTTCTACTTCAGGTGGAGTGCTTTTTTAAAAGTTCTTCTAAACTAACTTTCAGTAAGTGCAGCAGTGGAATGCTTTCCCCTGCTCTTTCCAAGACAAGATCTAGCCTCCTTGTGCATCATGTTCTAGCTGGTAACACAGCAGACAAAAAGCAAAAATATAATTGAGCACAATGTGACTTTTTAGTTGGTTTCCGCTGTGTTTATGTGCTAGCATGATGGCAAAGGAACTTGACCCCCGAGGCAGTGATCTGCTAGGGAGAACAGGTATCAGTATATCCTAATAGCTTTGTGTGTCACTGTCCTTTCTCGGGTGATGTGGCACACATGAGCCTCTGCTGTGCCAGTGTTATTAAAACAAGTGATGAGAGAAGCTCTGGCTACACATAGATAGTATTGTGAAACTCTGAGAGGCTTTGCAGTGACTAATAGCTTGACAAACCTGGCAGTGCTAAATGGTGGAAAATGTCCTCATTAAATGGGCATTATGAGGGCCAAAGGTGCCATTAACCAAGCGGGTAGCTGCTGGCTGCAAAATGAGCCATTTAATTGGGAAAAGTTACTGCCTACCAGCAGTGGCTTTGGAAAAGAATGCTAATAAGGTTGTTGGGGATATGGTTATGCAAAGAGGCATGCCTTAAGATGTGATTCTTCTATTTAAATTTCCTGACTTTCTTTTAACCCTGAAATACATATTTGAGTTTTTTCATCAGACTTTACTCGCATCAAGGGTCCTGTAGGGGTGGTGAGTGCCTAATGATTCTCTCTTTAGAACTTTACTGTGTGAGGCATAGGATAGGTATTAAAATTTTCCTAATAGCATTTGCTGTTAACTATCTTCCCAAGACTGAGCAGCCATCCCAGGCTATGAATATTGCTTTACTGAAAGAATTACCTGGCTGCCAGCTGTGGAAAAGATGAATATTTTGTATTAAAGTGTTTTTGAGAGAAATTAAAAATCTTACTGCACATTAACTTAGCCCTTCATCATTTAGAACTGGTTTATGTCATGGCTTTGAACGCTGGAATAAGCCCAGCTTTTCTTTCTCTGCACTATTAATAGTTTGCCTTTGCATTGAAGTTGGCAAACTCACCTTTGATTTTTAGGGACCCTAAGAGTGAAAGAATAACCACGAGCAGGCTCCAGCTATCATGTCGTTAAATTATCACTTTCCTAGACTTGCCAGAGTGCACTGTGCTTAGCCAGAAGACTTTTTTCAAAACCTTTCTGATGTAGTGGCAAAGAACCTCTCCTAAAGTAGTCTCATTTATTAGTGCCATCTGCCTTCTGTCACTGCTTTAGGTCCTGATCCACATAAGTTTGTGGACACTTGGCTTCTGCTGACCACAGTGAATACAGCTAGTGTGAGTTAAGGTGTTCCTGTGGTTCTGGACTGAAGTAAATTGCTTTCTGAAGTTTACTTGTGAATCATGATAACTGAGCCCAGCTAATGACTTTCCTAAAATTTGGTTTCATTTTATGAAGCTTTTTTATTTCCTCTGAGTTGTGAAAATTCTTTGGACGGTCCCAAGACAAACCTGATGTAATTCTTCAATTAGCTGAAAATGTTGCCTCTGAAATGAAAAGCAATTCTCTGTCCCAACTAGCTGTAGTGCCTTAGCTCAGGTACTATACCATAGTGAACAGCAGGACTCTGGATGGTATGGATTAATTAGCTGTTCTAGTATTGACACTTATTGCTAATTTTTGCTGGCTGCATTTGAAATTGTCTAACATACTGGGCTTTTTTTATTTGCAGATCGTGCCTTGAGTTTTAGAATTTCTAGCAAACGTGGCTACAGCAAAATAAATGGTTGGCAGTGTCTGCATTTGAAGATTCCTGAAACTTCATCTTTTCTCACACATGGGTTTCAAGCACACTACAGCCAAAGTGCATGCGATGCAGCTTGTGGTTCTGAATGTTTGCTGTAACCTGGGTACTCAACTGTCTGTCTAAAAAAAATTACAGCTGTTCTGTTCGAAGTGTCCCTTCTGCTTTTGCTGTACTCCTGTTGCATAGCCGTAGGAGTTGCAATCTTGCCCTTCTCCCAGTCATCTCGGCTCATATTCTAAAAGCACTGTTGTTTCAATCTGTGTTTTCCCTACATGGTTAAGAAGGATTTAAAAAAAAAAAACCAAACAAACCTAAATAAAGATGCCACCTACAATAAGTCTGAAATAATTATGTTTGTGTATTTGTAGCACCGCAAGTAGTATTAATTTTTAACCATTTTAGGATTTAAGACTTTTATTTGTGGATATGAGAGCTGGGATGGTTTTTTTACTTTAAACAATGAAAGGTAGAAGTCTTGCTGCTTACCTCCTGTGCTGCTAAAGCAGCAGCTTCTGGTGAGATCAGGTTGTCAGTCTTTCAGTGTTCTGGCTTTTCCTCTTTTTCCAGCTAATGTGGGAAATTTGGAGACAGCATGAGTGTAAAATAGCTTTGCCTTTAGTCATTTTTCTCCCATATTGCAGTGTAGCTTGTAAACCATAAGCACGTGTCTGAAAACACTTGTGCTTTTTATTAGTGATGAACAGAACTTGGTGCTCTTGGGGTGTGTGAGTCGTAAGTGATGCCTGGAGTGTCCACTGCTGTTGCTGGGGTGTGCAGATTAATAATGTGGTAATGTGACAGTTCTTGTCAGAAGTGTCTTTGTTTGAATAAAGCTGTTTGGCTAGTTCTTTAAAGTACAGGGGCTGTCTTTCTCCTTGAACATCATTCTGTGGATAAGCAAGGAACATGGTTGTTTCCCTCTCTTCTAGGTGCTTACCTGCTGTTTTATCTAATACTGCTTTTGGGGATGGGAGCAGTGGGGATTAAGTGTGGTGGGAATGCTGCTTACCTGGACAAAATTTACTAGTAAATTACAAATGGAGAGAGGAGGGTATATGGCATGGTTGTTAGGTTCCTTTTTCTAATAGCAGAAGAAAATTAATTTGTCAGTGGAGCTGGTTGCCATGGGAATGCAGGACAATAGACGAGGAGCTGGGGTGGCTGCATGGAGCCTCATTACTGAATTCCAGTCCTTGCCTTTGCTTTCCACCAAACACTCCGTGCAGGTGAACCTGCACCTGCACACACCAGTGCTGTGCCTGGAGGTGGGGCTTTGACCACCTCTGGACTGCTCGTACTGAATTAAGGGTGACTTCGAGGGGCTGAGGAACTTGCCACCCTTCAAACACAGAAACCTTAAAAATGCTCAACCTTCCCACAGATGAGTTATGTTGCGAAGCCAGCTCCTCTGCGGGAAGTGAGCTACGCTGACTCCCTGCTAGATTTAGAGCACTGTTGACACTGAAACATTTCCTCCATAAATAATACTGAGAGGTAATGATGATCCTATAGAACTAATAGAAGGAAATACTGGTATCTCTCCTCCAAAGGCCTCATAAATTTGCAGCCATGACACCACCGATTGCCTTCACAGGCTATATATACTGCCAGATGTATTTTTTTCTTGGTGATTGTACTTCAGATACACGCTCCACTTCACTAAGCAATTGTTGGCAAGAGCACTGGCATACGGTCCATCAGCAGGAATACAATTGTGCTGGGAACACAGCAAGCTCAGGGTAGTTTACATACTCTACCCATAGTTTTAAAAGGTTGCTATAATTGAGTATTTAAAGGGAACGGACTATATTTGGAGACCTGGTAGTATTTACACAGTCAAACAAATGTCTTGAAACCAGCTGAAAGCTTGCCTGGAAATTCATTTTAATAATGAGAGAAGCACTGGATTATTCTGGTATTAATCTTTAACCTCGGCAGTGCAAACCCAGCTTAGTTTTAGGAGAATTAAACTGAGAGGTTGGCTTATCCCTGCTCTAAGTATTGTGGGAAGTACCACACGGAACACAAACGTTAACCGGTCAGGACTGTTCATGTTTAGCCCTTTTTCTTGGCCCTAGATGCTTCGGAAGCCAACACGTGAGAGGGAATGGCCTGTGCTGCCAATTTCAGACTGTGAACAGGAGCAGCTGGGTGGGAGCCTCACACAAGCCATCACATCACCGTCTGGGGTCAGGCACTTAAAAAAGGAGTGAAAGAATTGCCAGGATTCTCCACTGTGGAAAAGACAGCTTATCTGCTTCCTAAATTACAGCTGGATCTGACAGTAGATGACTCAAACACTTAAGGAGAGATTTTTGAATACGGAAATCTACCTTTTTCTCCGTTTTAGATCACAAGCAAGCTGGTTACTTAAAAGGCTGCTGTTTCGCTATTAATGTACTGGTGTGATTCACGTAAAAGCTATTTATTTACATCAGAGACGTTCATCAAAAGATGTGACAAGTACAGCATGAATGATTCATTCTCATCGCTCTGCACTGCTTTCCTGTTAATCAAGAAACAGTTAGATGCGTCCAGCTGGGCTCCGCTTCCTTATCGCTTTCCGTGTCATCTTCTTCCCCCAAGCCCGTTCAGCCCAGCTCCTGCTGTCCCAGCTCTGCAGCACGCTCTTGCCGACTGTATCGTTGATCCTGCTGGGCGGTGGAAGTCATGATGCTTGGTTTTCCATGAAGGAGAAGGGGCTGCAGCTATGCTGAACTCCCTGTGCAGGGTGGGGTTTTTTTCCTGTGGGGGAGAGGATGGAGAAACAGGCCTTCAAACCTTGGACTTTACTCCAAGATTGCAGATTCTAAACTCCAGGGCCGTGCTTCCCCCGTTAGGAATATTTGGTGTTTGAAATCTTCTTCCAGAGCAAGGTCTTGAGGTTGTTCAGCACGAGGGAGTGGTGCACTTCCATCTGGCTGGCCAGGCCACTGAGGGTCATGCAAGTTCGGAGCTGTTTCTGCAGCTCTTCTTTCAGCTCCAGCGGTGCTCCGTACAGCAAGTAGTCCTGCAGCAACCCACAGACCTTCGCCAGGTTGGGCTGCACCACGTCGCTTTTGCACTGCTTCATGAGTTTGTCGCATGTCGCCATGCAGTCCTTCCCGTAGGTGCAGTCCACGTTCTGCTCACAGTGACGTCCCTTGAGGAAACCCCTGATTGTCATCTCTGTTGCCACCTTCCTCAGGTTGACCATTTTGAAGTCATATTTGTCGTTGTAGCCCACATTCTTAAAGCTGGTCTCACAGATGTAGAAGTTCCCGTAGGTCCCGTGGAATATCTCCTCCACGAACTCCAGAAGGCCGATGGCGATCTTTGCCCGCCGGGGCCACGCTGGTGCAAACCACTGGTGGATGATTTGGTGGACGACTGAAGGCAGCAGTGACTGGAGGAAGGGGGGGACATCCACTCCATAGAGGGAGGTGTGGGGGATCTTCTCGGTGACGTAGAGGTCCCCGCAGTGCCCCAGCAGCTTGGACGTGTGCTCTTTCTCATGCAAGGACAGCATTAGAAGAAACTCATTGAGCTGAAGTAGCGCCCAGATGGATTTGGCCTCTGCTAAAGACACTTTCCCATCCCGGTTCACATCTGCTGTGGTGATGATCCGGCTCACCAAGGCTGCAAGAGAAGGCTGATCTCCCAGCTTGGACTGTGAACAGAACAAGAAGTGGCATCAGACCCTTGCAGCTCTCTCTGGGCTTCGTATCACAAAACTGAACTGGAGAACCAAAGAACTGAGCTTGGGAGAGGATGAAACGGCCACCATGCTCGAGCAAATTCAGTGTCATACCATTGTGTATGGTTGGATGGATTCAGCTCCAGCAGAATTTTACCAGCTTTGGGGCTGCTCTAGACCCAGATGGGAGCAAGCTTTTGAGAGCAAAGACTGGGCAGTGCTGCTGTCCCACCGCTGCAGCAGAAGCCCTGCACAGGGGTAACTGCTTCAGCGGTGCCAGCACTGCCAGGGCTGCCCGTGGGCTTGTGAATAAGCTCTGCCCAGCACAGATGCCACCCACAGCCTCGGTAGAGTGGCCTCCAGGGTTGCTGCTACTAAAATCTTGCAAATAATTTCTGCGTGGGAATGAAGGTTTTTCTCGGCTAATGCAGCACTTGCTCTACAGAACACAATAAGGAGCCCTGCCCAGCACCCAGCAGCTGATGGGGGAGCATGAGCCAGAGGAGCTCTTGTTTAAGGGGAAGGAAAGATGCATTTAGTCTTTCTGAATCATGAGTGGCATCCCAGGCCCACAGGATCCCAGAGGTACCCTCCACACTGACCTTCAGGAAGTTGAGGAGCATTTCTTTGAACTCATCCATTGATGTCCCTCGTGTCGGTTTGTCAAAGAGGACCACGTCCCTCTTGGGCACAGAGTCTGGGTGACTGTCTGCCTTCAAGGCTTCTTCAATGCCACATTTGATGATCACCTCCCTCTCCCTCCAGAGCCCACTGTAAACCTACAGCAAAGGAGAGGGGATATGGCCAAGACAGGAGAAAAAAAAGAGCAAGTGCAGAGAACTAGTTTCTGGTTTGGTTCAGGATGGGTGCCAGGGATGGGGTGAGGAGTAGACGTGCAGGGAGGAGGACATTTCCCGGGTTTGGTGCTTGCACCCATTCCCTGCTGTGCAGTGGTTTCCCCGGCGGGGCAGAGACCTACCTGCTGGGTGGGAGAGGAGGAGAGGCAGTGCTGGAAGAGGAGGCTGCGCTCCTCACACAGGTCTTTGCACGTGGAGCCAGAAATGATTCCTTTCTTGTACTGGTCACACTGGAGAGGGGAAGGCAGAGAGAGAAGCTCAGCAGGGGCAGCTCCCCGTTCATCCAAAGAAGTCCAACAGATCGAGGCACATTCCCACAGCTTATGATCTGCGGCACCCCAAGCACACGCGCTGGGGGCGTGCAAGTCCCCCCCTAGCCTCCCATGCTGCGGCCAGCCCTGCTCCCGTCACCTGCCGTGCCCAAACTCCTCAAGCCCCGTTCCTGCAGCAGGGCTGGGGCCAGCACTTTGGTTTTTCAATTTACCGTGAATAAGCTCTGCCCAGCACAGATCATCAATGCCACTGCGTCCCCAGTGAGCCCATTTCCTCTGAGTTCATGTGAGTCTCTTATGCAAGAGAAAAACACCCCTTAAAAGAGGCACATCTGATTGCAAACCCACCTAGGCTGCTTGGAGGCAAGAACAGTATCTCTAGTTGTCGACCATTTCTTTCCTTCCTGGGATTCCAAGGTCCTCAAGCACAGAGGGGCTGCTCAGGGTCACCACCCCCATATCACTTTGGCCTTGGATTTGGCAGCCCGCA